ATCACGAACCTGGACAGGTTGCACCCAGACCGGGCGGCTTCACAGGTGTCACAGCTGAAGGCACCTAGGAGACTACAGGTGGGCAATCCGGTCTGGGCAAGGAACTACGGTCCTGGACATCTCTGGGTCACAGCAGTGGTATGCAAGGTCTCTGGGCCGCTGTAATACGAAGTGGCCTTGGACGATGGGCACGTCATCCGACAGCACATAGACCAACTGCGCTGGAGGCTGCCCAGCAACACTTCTGCTCCCGGCTCTGCTCTCTGGGGGGGTGGAGGAGGACCATAATCTTTATTCTGGACCACAGTCTCCCGGCTCCAGCGGGTTTTCACATGCTGCCGCACATGTTCCAGTGGCAGAACGGGGGCATCCACAGGATTCAGCTATTGCTCCAGAATGGGGGTCATTCCAGGCTTCAGCAAGTGCTCCATACAGGGAGTCTCCAGAAAGGGGGTTTGCCATGGAGGCAGCTCCTGATTCTGGCACCTCTGGCACGCACACGGGACCAATGGGATATTGGGGCACATCAGCCATTCAGGTCACTCCAGCTGCTGGTCTTGGGCTCGAGGGACAGTGCTCCCAAGAAGAGTCCATTATGGACTTGGGGAAATCCACCCCACCAATGGACTTGGGGAATTCCACGCCCCCCCAAGGAACCCTGGCTTGGATTTAGAGGATCCAGCCAGTCAGCAGCTGGATGGGTCACCTGGGTCTTTGGGGCATCAAAGTCCTGGTCTGCCTAGCCTGGCAGGCGAGTTGGCAGGCCAGGCACACACTCCTGCCATAAGAAGGTCATAGCGGGTCAAGGGTCCACCCAAACATCTCAAGGACTATGTGAGGTTTCTGTCAAGCCAAGGGAATCTTGCTAGTCCTTAAAAGAGAAAAATGCAGAACAAACACTCAAAGTGAAGGAGTGTTGCATTCAGTGTATTATTTTGTTGTATTTTTTTTCTTTGAGTAATTATAAATGTAAGAGTGCTCTGCCTGAGTGCAGGCATATTGTGCTTCACAATAACATCCAGTCCGTTGAACACATGTATCTGTGCTGCTATACAATAAGGTATTATTGTTTCATCCAGGGGGAGGGGTGTTATGTCCTGAGCCTGCTGAAGCATCCAGCAGGCTCAGAAATGTTGCAAAGGGTCCTGGGCAGACTGCAAACTGCCTGGGACTAGACTGGCTGTCTCCAGCCTTGCGCACATGTGCAAGGGCAGGAAACAGCCTCTGCAATGATTGGTTGATGCTGTCCTTTGCAAGGACATTATAAAAGGCCTGCGCGCCATTTTTTCTGTTGTTAGTTGTGGAAGAGAACAATAAAAGAAGGTTTGTTGTTATACTATGCGTCTCCTTTTAATGCCTCCAACCTGCGAACTTAACAGTAATGGCTTTAGATATTTAATGCTTTAGTCTTATTGTACGTGGCCCAGAATCACCTGCTTGTGAGATGAATGAATGAATAAATAGATAAGTAAAAGTGAAACAACACAGAAGCAAAATGTTATCAAGGTTAGACATAGCAGGATTACAGCATTCAGATGTTTCCCTATATTTTTTTCTAGTAGGTGACAATGACTAAGGGGAAATAGCAATTACACTCTAAGAGAAGATGTATCGACACATTTCCTAACAATAAGAGCAGATTTTGACCGTGAGCTATTAAAGGTGGTCCAGATCTGTGTGCAATGGATGTTCTGGAGAACTTAATTTATGCAAGATCCCTTCCAACTCTGTTATTCTGTATTCTCTATGTGGCTACTAATACAATTACCTGTATTCTTGCTTGTTTATACATAATCAGCAAGCTGAGGTAAATTACTGGTAGGGGGACCATATCTGGGCTGCAAAAAATGTCATTGCTGCCATCTCAGGGTTAATACAATTATGGTAAAATCATAAGGCAAATATTTTTTGTACTTTCTAAAAAAAGTATTTTAAGGTAATCGGGGTAATTACACGGATCATCTTTCCTCATTTTTATTTTATTCTTTTGAATTATGTTATATTTTCTGGCAGCGAAGAAATGCTTATTCCCTATATTGGTTTACAACTGGGGAAAATTGACATGGTCTTCCCAATGACATCCATTTCTTTGAGAGAACAATTCCATAATCTCACCATTTGCCAAGCTCCCAAATTTTAATCACATGACCGTGGGGATGCTGCGACGGTCATAATGTGATAACTGGCTGTAGATCACTTTTATCAATGGCCTTGTAACTTTAAACAGTCACTAAACAAATGGTTGTAAGTTGAGGATTACCTGTACACACAAACAGAGTGGGGATTGCTAAATCCTATTAATTCAGCCAATACTTCCCCATTTGCAGTCTAACCATAAAAAGGGTGATACAGAAAGTCATCCATCCATGCATATCCAACCTCTCCATCTCTTGCCAAAATAACAGTGTGGGACTTATAGGATGGGGTTACTGCTTTTGGAGAAATTTTGGAACTATAGTAAAAGCACATTTATTCCCAGAACCCAACTGAGAAATTGCCACTCATTTAATCAAAGTACAGTGTCAGCCAGTCTGTTGAAAAAGCTGCTTGAATGAGAATGTTGGGGTTTGGTTGGACTTATCATTTGCATGACAATGGTGTTGCAGGCCTTGAAGGTTTCTCTTTTTTTGTGTGTTTAAAAAAAAAAATCTGCTTTTGGAAGCTAAAGCTGAATACCAAATCAGGCTGTCTGAACCATTAGAAAGACCGAGGACACTGCTTCGAGTTGTGAATGCAAGTCTACAGAAGAGCATCACCCCCTGAGCGTTTCCTTCTTGGCCCCCGAACCATTCCTCTTGTCCATTGCCTTCCAATGAAGAGGAAGATCTGGCCCACTCACCTTTATGCCATGCAGTAAACTGATCTAGACTGGCTATGGAAATTAACTTTGTCCACAGATGCTTCGACCTTGAAATGGATGCTTATTTAAATCATAAGACATGTGTTTTATATTGCTGGAGTGCTAGAAAATTACAATGCCTGACATCTCACGCTCTATTTGCAATAAAGTCCAGTGATCCCTGGGCCATCCATAACAGATTTGAAGGCAATAATGTTGGCCCATAAGCATTTCTAGCAGCACCCTGATGAATTTTCAAATTTAAAAAATTCTGATAGCGCTAAACTTGTCTCTTGAGCACATTAAAAAAAAATCACAGAAAGAATTGTGCATTGCAAAACGCACCACATTGAAATAAACAGTGCTCACGAGTTTGACTTTTAAAATGGCTTTAATTTGTTCATGCAGTGTATCTAGAAGATTCTTGATGATCTTTAGGTCCTGAATCTGCAGTTGGGTTAAGGGTTTCTTGCCAAATGAAGGCTATGCTGCTTTGCTAAGCATCTGTCTTTCTGGTCCTTTTGTTACAATGTAGGGTTTGCCTCTCTCCTTGCTGAGCTGTTGTGACCCCTCCTTCATCCCTTTGCCTCCTTTAAATTGTATCATAGCTATTTGAAGAGCAAATGGGTTGTTTTTAGAGGGTTTCTCCCATTGTTATGAGCCACACACTTTTCCTCCTGAATTTTTTTATAGGTTGCCCTACCTTCTACAAAAATTCTGCTATAAAACCTCTTCTAACACCACTTCCTAGGCTAGACTTGACCAATGGGTGACCTCCGGTTGCAAACGTAAGACACACGTGCATGCATACACAAAGCAAGTTAGCTATCTGAAATTTCCAGTGTGATTTATTTTGAAAACATTAAAAAAAGAAAGAAAGAAAGTAGATGCTTCAAGGATACATACAATGACAGGAACAGAGGAGACTGAAAGTTAACCCAAAGTTAAACCCTCCAGAGAGTTCCCTTCCTACCCAAGGCAGGATCCGCCACACACGTTTATGCATTTCTACAATAGGAGGGAATGGAATGCATGATATCATTTATTATTATTTACTACCTTACATCAAATATTTTTTCCTTAAAAACTGTGCTCTAGTTTCTGATTTTGCCTGTGTGGCGCATAGGGAAGATATTTTTGCTTCAGTTTAGTTATACATTTGGTCCTTGACTTATGATCATAATTGAGCCCAAAAGTTTAGTTGTTCAGTGAGATATTTGTAAAGTGAATTTTGCCCGGTTTTACGACATTTCTTGCCAGTTATTAAGTGAAGCTGATAAGTTAGTAGCACCACTGTTAAGTGAATTTGGCTTCCCCATTGACTTTGCTTGACAGAAAATTGCAAAGGGAGATCACATGACCTTGGGACACAGCAAGGGTCATAAATATGAACCAGCTGCCAAACATCTGAATTTTGATCATATGATCATGGGGATGCTTCAAAGGTCGTAACTGTGAAAAACAGTCATAAGTTGCTTTTTTCAGTGCCATTGTAACTTTGAGCAGTCACTAAACAAACTGTTTAAGTCAAGGACTAACTGTACTATACATCTGTTCTGGATGTTTTAATTTTGCTACTGCTATGATTTTCCCAATTTTGATTTCTCAGTCTAATATTGACAGCAAAGCATGTCTTTTCCAGTGTTGGGTCAAATTTATTTTCATGGCCATCAGTACTGTATGTATCTTAATACATTGTGATATTCTTCATTTATTTCTCTGAAAAAATTCCTGGTTAAAAACACACACACATACACGAAGGTTGCAGTTCAAGCTTTGCTTTTAACATTTGTTTTATATAATTTTTCCAGTAGTTTTGAATTTTTTTTCACCTAACCCATCTATGGATCTGACCTTATCTTACTCCCCATTTAGGGAGTAAATGTTTATCCATTTAGTGCCAACTCAGTTGAAAACTAGATTTCTTGCAGCAAGATGGCAATGTAGTTACGAACCTTACAAGGTTATTATCTCCACATTTTGACAACCAGTTGGCCACATTCCAACTAATTAAGGTATTGTAACTTTTTTCTAGTGGGCGTCATGTCAGTTTTTAATAGGGACGCATGTTGTAATGGCTCTGTTTGGGATTTTTTATTTTAGTCTGGTGTTTTTCCCCTTTCCAAATAAATTTGCTGATTATTCTTTGCTGATCTTGCAGAATTGTTTCTGGGATTAAGACTGGTGCCATTTGACTTCCAGTTCCAGTTTGCGGCGACTCCGGTCGTGTGAAGAGACTCATCTCTCCCCCGGCTGTTTTCTTCGCCAGTAGACCCCCTGCTGGGTCGAAAGTCGCTCTGGAGGGGCGACTACTGAGGAGTAAGCTTGCTGGTGACTGCGGGAGGGCGGCAGCTTCTTCTGCGGCTCCACCTAACTCCTTAGGGCCAACGGAGCAAAGATCGTCCTGCAAGATGGCCGATTCCTTAGCTGCACCAGCCAAAAGTCACAGGTACATCTAAGCATGAAAGACCCACTGCGGATGATCCGGGTGAGAACTCTCCTTCTCCTCTTTTCACCCTATTCTATTTTTTACCTGTAAAAGCTTTCTTGGAATTAATTCCCTGCCTTGAAAGAGTGGCATTTATATGCGTGGGAAGAAAGGCGTTTCAACAAAAGGACAGATCAAGTAACTTTAATGACTATATTTTATTTTCATTTACTTTGGGGTACAGAAAAAAAGAAAAAAATTTAGAGCTTCACTATCACCTTATACTGGAAGAATATCTCTTTCTCCACCTTTTCTTTTAAAAGAGAGAGAAAAGGGAAAAAATGGTGTCTGAGAAAGATTTTGTAACCCACTGAGGACATCTTTGACAAAAAGTTAATATTGCAATTGTCTGTTTTTCCTTGGAGATGAAGTGGATTTGACCTTCAAACCTCTTGAAAAGATAAGCTGATCCAGCTGTGGGAAATTGTGGGGGTGGATATTGTTTATATATAGCCTCCACTAAAAGATAAAAGGGTCTCTCTTCAATTACTATTAAAATGGAGTTTTACTTAAACTAAACTGTAAACTTATATTAGAAAAAATTCACAAAGCCACTGAAGAAGTATGTGCTAAAATCAAAGAGATTAGTACAGAAATTAGAGCCAGAAGCCTTGCTCCAAATTCTCCAAACCTTCAAACTGATCTCCAGACCTCATCTGACTATGCTATAAATCAAAACATACTAGAAGAAGAACTAATTGAGATTAAAGAGGAATCTATTTTACCTTACAAGCATTCCATCTATATTCTCAAGGATCAGAAGAACCAAAGACTGAGACTGGAACTTTTGAAGCAATGAGGGTTTAATGACAAAAGAGCCAGATGCCCAATACAGAGGATGGGCTGTTTTCTATCGACTCAAATGATATTACAAGAGACAAAGGGAGATCTACTTGCTGAGATGGAAGCCTTGTTATGGAAACCGGCCTGGCACCAAAAGAAAGCTAGAATAAGACTGAAAAGAGAAATTTAAAACTATATGTAATGGATTAAAAGGCACTGTAGAAATATGGATTGATTTAAGGTTTAAGATTTAGAGTTAGAAGCGAGAGTAAAATTTGTGATTACCAGAATATATATGTTAAATAGATTAAGAATGTAATTTTTGGGAATAATGGGTTTATTTGTATGAAAACTATTTTGTAATGGAATGAATGAAAATGGAAGAGGTTTTATAGTGACTTGGATTGATTTAACAATTAATTGAGTATGCTAAATTAGTAAGATGATGCTTTGTGTAATAATATGGTTGTTTTTAGACATAACAATTACTGGGATGAGATTTGAATTTTGCCTAACGGACTGAAATGATTTAAGGTTTGATATTACTTTGTTTTGTTAGGGATAGACTAATTGATGGATTGTATATGTATAAGCTAGAATTATATTTTATTTTAATTAGGATAAATATTGAGTAGTGGATGAAGAAACAAGAGAGATGTGTGATAAAATTAAGTTTAGGAGACTAAGAACTAGAATACATTTGGAAGGGATACCCAAAGTGATAATATGTTTATTTAAGGCTTAAGTGGATTATGGTAATTGTAAATTAATGAAGTTTAAAAACAGGATTAGGATTTATAGAAATTTAATGTAGAAATGGATTGTTTTAAATATGTTATATTGTTTGAGAGAAATAGGGAATATTTACTTGAGTTATTTTATGTGGTTTTGTTGTTGGATGTTTGATTCCCCCAGCACCACAGTGCGTCTCGAGCACTTTGTTGTAAGAGTTAAAAAAAACTAATAAAACTTGTTCTAAAAAAAAAGACTGGTGCCATTTGAACTTTAAAAATTTATCTTAGTTAATATAAGCAATATATTTAACAATTGCAATTGATGCTAACCTGGAGAGTTTTAAAATTTTCTACCTTCAATTTTTTTTTTAATTGTCACAGAGAAAGGATTTACTTTATCTCACCATGCCATCATGCCAAACTGTCAGCCCTCTTTGGAATAGCTTATTCTGAATAAGAGGGTTCTGGGGCTGTTCCGTGTAATATATAGCTTGGCTCTTAAAGCGAAAGACAGTTTATGGAACTTTTCTATTCTGCTCTCTGGAAAATGAATTGCTCTATTGGAAATGGCAAATGGTTTTGGGTGATGAGAATAATTACAGCTGGTTAACAGATCCCAGTCCACAAGCAGTTTCTCCCAAGTTCCAAAAGTTGACCGCATGCAACTCTGCTGACAACTCAGCTTGAAAGCACAGGTAGTGCCTTCTAAAAATAGCTTCTTTCCCATCACTCTGGCATTTAGGAACTGATCTTCAAAGTTAGTGCCTCTCTCAGATTCCTCACCAGTTGGCTTTGTAGCATGGATTAACAGGAGTTGATATCCACTATATAAGTTATAGTGGAAACAGGAGACTTCAAATTTATTGATATCCGCTAGAAAACTTACTCCATTAGCAATGGAACGTCCAACAGATTGCTGCCTTTTCTGTCTGACAATATTATTTTTCAGAAGAAGAAATAAAGGGTCGGCTATCCTGGACCTCATCCCAACAACTGGCATTAACCAATAGATTGAAGGCATTAAATGCCTTGGATAAGTGACTTGTGTCATGTTGGAATTCAAGGGAACTAGAAGAGGAAAACCTGAGAGACATCAGTCAGGCGTCTAGGACTTTGCGAAGGAATGGGTGTCTGGGGAAGGAGAGGCAAAAAGGGTGCACAAAGGATTAAATTTGTGTTGTTATTTTGTGCTGCAATCCCCATGATTTATGCATTTGTGTCTGGATCCAAGTACAAAAGGCTGGGAGTTGCAAGTTGAACATACTCAGTTCTTTTAGTCATTATTAAAGAAGAGAAAATGGAGGCCACCAATATCCAAAAGCTATCCTGTGCAGATCTGTTCTTTATTGAAAATGAAGGCAAGACAACCAATTAAAAGAAGGGAAATTCAGACTGAGTTTTTTTTTTTAACAGTGATTAAGCAGTAAAATAGTTTGCCTAAAAATTGACAGGTTCTCTGTCACTGGAGATTTTTAAACAGGTTGGATAGCTATCTGGAAGGGGTGGTTCAATGGTTTTCCCACTGCACTGTAGTTTAGAATAGATGATCCATATATTGTATGATGCCACGCAATTGATTTCTGCAAACCTGATGGGTTTTGCAAATATATAAAACAGGAGAATTCCAAAATGTCTTCAAGAAGAAGAAAAGACACAGTGCATAGATCTTCTGAATTGTTTTGCCTACAAATTTCTGCCAGGGATATACTTTATGACTTTAAGGAGACACATTCCACTGTTCATTAGATTACAGTCACAGTTATGCATTACACTGCCACTTGACTATGGGTCTGTCAGCATTTCCATAATAAACCTTTAACTTCTGTGATCTATTGCCTAACTATTAAAAATATTGCTTGAAGCAAAAATTTGGAAGCCTGAATGTTTTGGGAAACCAGTGAAGGGAATTTGTAGCAGGAACCATCTCTTAATTCTATGTGTATTGCATCATGGATACTTTACATCTGTAGCTGATGTAAGGTCGAGGTATAATTTTAGAGGTCCTTTGATAATATTGCCTATAATTCCGCCAATTACATTTCTGGCATGCCTGTCTCTTCTAATAGAAAATTGTACCGTATATTAAAAAATAAAATATACTAGAAAAATAGATCTCAAGATTACTTTTATAACAATGTATTTTTATACCTTAATAATGTTGAGATCTATTTCTGTACTCTTTGCAATTTTGCTTTATAACTCATTAACTTATTAGTTTATAGCATCACACGGCGGTATATAGAACACTTCCTCCTAGACCAGGCAACCTTGGCTCTTTTATGACTGGTGGACTTCAATTCCCAGAATTCCTGAGCCAGCAGACCTATCAGCCTGACCTCAATACCTGGGAAGATTCTGGAAAAGATAATCAAACAATGAATCAGCGAACACCTAGAGACAAACAAAGTCATTACTAAAAGTCAAACACAGATCATGCCAAACAAATCTTATTGCATTCTTTAACCAAGTGACAAAATTAGTGGACCAGAGGAATGCTGTGGATATAATTTACTTGGACTTCAGGAAGGCATTTGACAAAGTAGATCACAACCTACTACTTGATAAGATAGAAAAATGTGTGTTAGACAGCATCACCACCAGATGGATCCGTAGCTGGCTGACCGGCTGTACTCAGCATGTGGTCCTCAACGGAACCGCATCTACACGGAGGAAAGTGTGTAGGGCTCTGTTCTGGGTCCAGTGCTCTTCAACATCTTCATCAACGATTTGGATGAGGGGATAGATGGGGAACTCATCAAATTTGCAGACGACACCAAGCTGGCAGGAATAGCCAACACTCCTGAAGACAGGCTTAGGATACAGGAGGATCTGGACAGACTTGAACATTGGGCACTATTTAACAAAATGAAATTCAATGGTGAAAAAAGTAAGGTTCTACATTTATGCAAGAAAATCCAAATGTACAGGTATAGTATAGGGGGTACCTTGCTCAATAGTAGTAACTGTGAGAGGGATCTCGGAGTCCTAGTGGACAATCACTTAAATATGAGCCAGCAGTGTGCTTCAGCTGCCAAAAAAGCCAACACAGTGCTAGGTGCATTAACAGAGAGATAGAATCAAGATCACATGAAGTATTAATACCATTTTACAATGCCTTGGTAAGGCCACACGTGGAATACTGCATCCAGTTTTGATCAAGATGTAAAAAAGATGTTGAGACTCTAGAAAGAGTACAGAGAAGAGCAACAAAGATGATTAGGGGACTGGAGCTAAAACATATAAGGAACGGTTGCTGGAATTGGGTATGTCTAGTTTAACAAAGAGAAGGACGAGGGGGGACATGATAGCAGTATTCCAATATCTCAGGGGCTGCCACAAAGAAGAGGGAGTCAACCTATTTTCCAAAGTGCCTCAAGGCAGGACAAAAAGCAACAGGTGGAAACTAAGCAAGGAGAGAAGGAACCTAGAACTAAGGAGAAACTTCCTGACAGTTAGAACAATTAACCGGTGGAACAACCTGCCCCCAGAAGCGGTGAATGCTCCAACACTGGAAGTTTTTAAGAAGAAACTGGGCAGCCATTTGTCCGAAATGGTATAGGGTTACCTGCCTGAGCAGGGGGCTGATTTGATGACTTCCAAGGTCCCTTCAACTTTATTATTATTAATTATTCATCTTGCATGCTTAAGATAGTTCAGAAACAGTTATATTATTGTAAAATCAGTATTACTACACTAATTTTTAAAGTTCCTGATTGAGTTTTGTTTTCTGATGCAATGGTTTCTCCTTCCTGTCTTTTTTTAATTAAATTTTTTATCCTTGAGTCATAGAAATATGGACTTTACATTGGTGAAAGTATCAATTTCAAAAAGCAGCTTTATTTGGAGCAGCTGAGATCTTGCAACAAAATCTTAAATATCATCAAACAGCAACATCTCCCTATCCCAGGTCCTTGGGCATGACTTGATAGGTAAAAAAAAAAAAAAAATCCAAATACAGTCTCACATCTGATAGTCATTTCACAAGAAGTGAGTTACAAAACATCAATTTATTTAAGTATCACCATCCATTTCTGCCTCCTACATGCACTCTCTGCTACCTTTTTTAACATTTCAGATTGGATTGGGTTGGATTTCCTATAATGTACAGCTGGATCCTAGCACAGGAAATCAACAGCTATGGTATAGTTAGTATATTCAGCACAGAAAATTTCGTTAACTCTTTGGAATTAAACTTCTGTCTGTATTGCATTCCTAATAAGCTTTCTTTTCCATTTAAAATCATTGCATTGAGGACCAAATTATTTATTATGCTTAGTTTGTGCAAGTATGTGATTTTCTGATTTTCCTGAATTGATTTAAAGGGAAGATGGCATTTTTCTAATTGTGAGAGAGAGGTGATCTGAAATTAACATGCCAAGTACTTTCTCTACACCTGTCTTTCATGTATTATTTCAATTTGTATCGGAGTCCCCTTACTGTGTGACACCTTAAAACAAAAGTTATTGCTGCTGGTTTCATAGTAATTCTGGGGTGAGAAGGAAGTGGGGAGAATGCAGTTTTCTTCCTTGTGATTTCCATCTTGATTGACTCTCATTGCAGTAGAATTCAGGTAGTTCTCGACTTACGATTGCAATGGTGCCCAAAATTTCCAAGGGTGAGCAAGATATTTGTTAAATGAGTTTTGCCCCATTTTACGACCTTTCTTGCCTAAGGTGACCAACTTTTTTACAATGAAAAGGAGGATACAAATAAATTGAAGAAAAAAATATCCTAAATAAAAGAAACATTTTATTCATTGCAACAATAATACAGACAACTTGCATGTGCAAAGTTTGCCAGCCAGGTGTTTTGGCACGCTCAGCAGCAATTCCTATTGGCTTTCGAAAGCCAATAGTGGGAGTAGCATAGCTCATGCAAAAGTTGAAAAAAAAAAACCATCAAAAAAAGGTGCCGGAACGCTGTTCTGAGCGTTCTATAAGGGGGAAAAAAAGCCCTGCAGATTAGTCTTAAAATATTGAAAAGGAGGACATGAAGGAGGACACTTTTTGAGGGAGGATAGAACTTACAAAAGGAGGCTGTCCTCCCTAAAGGAGGACGGTTGGTCACCTTTACTTGGCACAGTTAAGTAAATCACTGCAGTTGCTAAGTTAGTAACACAGTTGTTAAGTGAATCCAGCTCCCCTATTAATTTTGCTTGTCAGAAGATTGTAAAAGATGATCACATGACCCCAGGAAACTGCAACCATCATAAATATATGCCAGTTGTCAAGCATCTAAATTTTGATTACATGACCATGGGGATGCTGCAATGGTCCTGTGAAAAATAGTTATAAGTCATTTTTTTGGGGTGCTGTTGTAACTTTTGAACAGTCACTAAATGAATGGTTCTAAATCAAGGACTACCTATAATCCCATAGTCATGTAAAACAATACAATACCCAATTTATATCGAGCAGGGCGGTTACAGCGTTAGTCCCATTGAGGCTAGTGATTACACTATCAAAAATAAATATGAAAGTACACCATGAAGAAAACTCTGAAGCCGTGATCCAAAGATTACTAGCCATATAAACCATTCTCCACGGCAGTCCGTGGAAGTGAGTTGTAATCCGCGGAAACCTACGTCGCAACCAAGGCGTAAACTTTACAAAATCCTTGCTGAAGATTTTTTTTCCAAGAGAGCCAGACTTTTGCCATCCTGTATTCATTTAAGCAACGAGAGCTGCGGAAGGGAAACCGTTCGCCAAGCTTCGTCGTGGGAATGGTCACGCAGGGAAATTGGCCGATGGCGGAGGCAGACCAGCCGACTGTACCATGCAACGCGCCTCGGTCTCTTTCTTTCCAACACGGCAACTCGTCTTGTTATGAAACTGCCAACTGCTAGATAGCAGATCTCTCAACGTGCTCCCAATGCTGCCTCTTTAGCCGCCGTTGGATTACAGAACAGAAGACGGTGAGCCGCCGTTTCCCTTTGCAATGATCGCAAAGATCAAAGTATTCAATCAAATCTATGGATTGCCTCCAGGTAGATGCCTCCTCTGCATGTCTGGTTATACACCTCGTCGACTACGAAGTAAATAGCCTTTTTAAGGGGCACCCTCGACTAACTATTCGGAAGAACTACATTACCCAGAAATCAACGCGCTGTTCGTGCAAAGGACGTCTGCGCACTAAGACACTCGGATCCAAGTTTGGAGCTTTTAGCTGCCAGTCCTGGCCCATCATGTAGGTGCAGCACAGCTTTCCTTCCCATTGCAATAGCGGGAGAAACCCCACTTTGCAATCTGTTTTGCAAGGCGTGCAATTGCAGCTCCTTCCTCTGCAAGGAAATCTGCTGTGAGAAGTCAGAAAAACTCGAGTTGCATGAAGATTGAGCGCTTGCAGTTTGCATCTTTGTTGCAAAACTAGCTACAGAAGGCAAAGTCTTTTGTGTTCCCCTCCCCCATCAAAGCAGAGGGGAAAATGTCTCAGAGAGGTAAGGCTCGGACTTGCGTTATTTGCAGATATGCAAAAAGTCGTTCATGCATTTTGAAATTGCATGCATGCAATTTGCGGGATACCATTGCATTTTGAAGTTTGAGGCGCTGAATAGCTCTCAGTTGCATTTCCTGTTTGGTATCTGTGTGCTTTTTGCAGGCGCACAAGCGCACACACACACACACACACACACACACACACACACACACACCCCGACGCGCGCACACATACTCGGGCGCGCGGCGTGCACGCATACACAAGAGTTCCTGTAAGGCAGGGCTTGCAGTTTAGTTGTGCATTGACGTTATTTGCATTCTTTTGCTGGGATTCCTGAGCTTGCCCCCCCCCCCCGCCTTTTGCAGTGTAGATTGATAAAGGGTTTTGAAAAGCTTATGCAAGAGTAGTTCCCCCCCCCCCCTTTAAGGCCAATGCAGATAAATCTGCAGAAAGCTCTCAATGCAGATTTAAATCCTTGCGTGCGTTTTAAATCTCCGGAGGAAATGGAAGGTGAAACTTGAGTGGAGTTACCAAGATTAAATATAAGTCTCGGTTTCTATGGGAAAGTATTGTTCTGATGCCCAGTGTTGAGCTCATTTTCCATAGACTTGGCTCCCTCTCTTCCCCCCCCCCCGTCGCAAGTAGTATGCGTATTGCAAAGGCTCGATTTGAGAAAGTTACGCAGGGAGCTCGCCTCCTTTTACTTTGGAACGCGGATTTATCAGGCGTATGTGTGTTTTTAAGATAAAGGCAGAGCAGAGAGGCTTCTATGAATCTTAATGTGAGATACGGTTAAAGGTTGGGTGAAATGGAACGCTTGCATTTTTGACACGAATTGAGTGCGGCTTGCCGTGGCTCATTCAAACTTTGGGAAGAATTCGCTGAACATAGGAGCAGTTGTTGTTTGAATTGGGGGCCCCTCTCGTCTTGGGGGGCTATGTTCTTGGAGTTTTCTGGCTGTATCTTGGGAGAAGAGTGTGCATCCGGGACAGAGGCTGCGGGATGAACTCCGAAAGGCCACTTGTAAGAGTTGCTCGGTGAGTAAACACGCCTAAGCCAGACAAGGACAGAGACAGGCGTCGCGATTGCTGTTCGGAAAGGAAAAAGCTGGTGGCCAGTCTCTATTTTCCCTACACGGCAGGCACACACACACTGCTGCTTTTCGGGGTGGCCGAATTGCATAATTGATTCCCCATTTGCTGCAGTGATCTCTCCCGGCCAAATGGAGGTTTTGGTACTATAAAAGCTCTCAGGCAAGTCCTTATGGCCAGGCTCTCAGGATGCTTAAACCGAAGGTGGCTTTCGTTCAGGCTTTATCATCCAACGGACTAATTTAGTTAATAGTTAGAAAGGGATCCGTCCTTTGATACGTGGAGGAGGGAAAGAGGTGTAACTTTTTTTCGCCTCTCTCCAAAGCCAATGAGGGCCGAAGGAAAGATGCGGTGATTTTTCACATTTTATTTTTTTGCCTCTGTCTTCATTTACCGCCAAGCACAAGCTAGTCTTTTTGCCTGTCTGGGAAGAAAGATTGCTTTGGCCACGCTAGTCTTCTTTTGACTGCTTTCCAGCCCCATCCAATCTCAGCTTCCTCATATATTTAAATGTGCAATATAGCATTTCAAAGAGAGAACTATTTTGACATTCTAATATGGAAATGGACATCCTTATGCATAATCTCCTCCCCTCCCCCCTTTTTAGAGAAAAGTGCAACCTTGGTTGTACTAAGAACCGGAAGTACTGTATGTCACTATAAAAGTGTATCTCACTACTTCTGGGCCTTGGTTGAGTGTGGTATCTGGTCTTATCAGTTTAATATTTGTTATATTCCCTATTTGAAAACTAGTGTTAGGCAGATTTGAGGATGATCCAGACCTTATTGGCCTCTGAAGTGTCCCAGGTTTCCCTGGCTATATTGACATATATGATGACGTTTTTCCTTGACTGCCATATTTATTTACTTTTCTGTAGTAACTTGTTTTTAATGGATTTATGATTGCAGCCCAGAGTCACTTGTTTGAGATGGGTAGTTATAGGAATTGAATAAATAAATAAATTAAAGTATTTTTTTTTAAAAAACTACATGGTGATTATGAGATGATTTCCTGTTTTCTGTTGTTTGGTTAGCAATCTGTACTTACAAAATAACATGAGCTAAAGACAAATTCCTTCCCCAAAGATCTTATAATCAGCACTTAGCTAGAGAGAGTTGATGCATCTTAATAAAGGATTAATGTAAGTAAAAAGCAATGGAATTTTCTCTGGCCTTGCAGTATTTTTCTGAAGGGAAAGACTAGGACTTTGTAAAAATGTAAATTGTTGGGGGTCCTAAAGAATATAATATTTAAAAAAAACAGCTTGGTAAGTTGCAGTGTAATTTTCTAAAATGGTTGATTAAAAACGTAAAAAACAAAATAAACCTTGCCACCCAAAAATAATAAAATATACAGTCAGACTTCCATAAATTGCAGTAGGTGTCACACTTCCCAAGAATATCTATTAGTGAAGTTGTGGTTGCATTTTGTTTGTGTTTTGAGGTCAGTATTGTGGAATTTAGTCCACAACTCTTCATTTCCATCTGCAGAAATGGTTGGCCTAGATCTATATGGAGAAAATTTAATTTTAGTACCAGTAACTCTAATTGTGGCTTGATCTTTCTTTATTCCATGTTCTGCCATCATTCCAGCACTTAATTACCTGATGTACCAATACCTCTGTTGTGAGAGTCATCTTTTGCTCTCATAATGCAGAGTTGTTTTAGAAAATCTATGGCTTGTTTCATGTAATAAATACTTAAGATATGCCAGCTGGACATGCAGTTTGGCGCCTTCCTTATAATGGATTTCTGTGCCATCTTGTTCTCATTTCAAGAAGATTTGGCAGAAGGTTGGAGACAGATTACAGAATGAGAATTATCCATGTGGCATACCATGTGCAGACTTGGCATGAAGAAGCAGTTCTGGCTGGCCTCCAACTATCAGTATTGAATTCAGTGGTATTATTTTCCATCGATCATTTGAATAGCTTTCAATTGTATCAGTGATTGATTGCCTAAGTGTCATCAAGTCATTTTGATTCTTAGTGATCACATTCTGGGGTCCCCAAAGCCTTGACCTCACCAGCCCCCTTCATGAAATTTCAGATTGTTTTTTGATTCCCCCAAACATTCATTATATGAAAACAATTTACTAAATACTGCTTAAAGTAATAATACTGTTATTAATAGGTGCCTTGGGTGCAATACCAAAAATCATTGGAGTGCCACTTGAACGCTATTGGCATTGACAAATTCACCACCAGTCAATTGCAGAAGGCAATTGGAACAGTTTACATCCTGCAATAATATCTTGTAACATCATCAGACTTCCACATCTGCCTAACTGAGGTCTTTGGGAAGGACTGATAGGTGGATAAAAATGCCAAATCCAATCTGAACATCTGGATGACTGTGACAAACCATAATAATAAGTTTGACCCCCTTGGATGTCAATACTGACCCCTTTGGAGAGTGCTGACATAAGATAGATTTTTTCCAGGAGGATCTGTCCCCAGCCTGATCCTTCAGGTTTTCCAATGCCGCATCCATCACAGCAATTGTTTGTTTATTTAAAACATTTTTGTAGCTGCCCATTTTATATTGAACTCTGGGTAGCTCCCAATCAACAAAGCTCCATCAATAAAACAACATAATACATATACAGTATCTATTAAAACTATAAACTTAAAAAAACCTTGGCACTGAAACTAAGCTTCCACCATGCAATCCCTCATTAAATCCTTTCATCCATCTCATTCTATCCCAGTGCTTGGGGAAAAATAAGTGCTTTTTGGAAGGCTAGGAAAGCAGAGACCTCAAGGAGAAGGGTATTCCATAGGGTAGAGACTGCCATGGAAAAGGCAGGCTTCCTAGATTCCATAATATAAGGGAAGGGATTACTAGGCGATTGTATGTGATCTGATAGGACAAGTAGATATCCTTAGAGAGAGGTGATCCTGCAGATAACCTAGCTCTGTGCCATATAGAGTTTTAAAAATAATAACCAGCATCTTGAATTGTACCTGGAAGGAGACTGGGAGCCAGTGTTCTGAAGACCTGTTCAAATTACTGCAATGTGCTCTACATAAGGCTGTTTTGGAAGACCACCCAGAAACTATAAGTGGTTCAGAATGTGGCAGCGTGTGCATTGATGGCTACCTACCCAAGGTTTACCCGTGTAATGTGATTTCATATTCCTCCTTAACAAAATTCTTTAAATTCACAGGGAATACGCTCAACTTCACATTTTGAAAACTGGTTGGCTTTCTGCTTCCACTTAGCTTAACTTGGAAGTTTATGATTTGTTCCTGAATCAGCTGCTGACCACATATTTGCTGTTACAGTATAACTGAGCTTTTCTAGTAGTAATACAGTTAATTTGATTTGCTAATATCCATTTGTGTGTGCATGTGTGTGCGTATGTATACACAATTCTTTTAGTTATTTGAAGATTGTATTGGCAATGAAGAAATCATTGGATTGCCAAATGTTCATAATAGAGTTCCGAACAAGAATATGAATGCAGTGCCTTAAAGCAGCTGTGTGTTTTTATTGATTTGCATAGCTGCTTTGAAGTTTTTTGTTTATTTTGCTTGTGATCTCAGTAATGTACATGTCTGTGTAGAAAACCAAAGATGACTTTGAAGCAACTTGAACTTTTACGGTGCAGATGTTTTAATGTTTCAAAAGGAGACATTTTGTTTCAGTTGATGTGCTTCTATAGCTCTCATATATTCCCATTCATTCATTGTTGGACACTGGAAAACTTGATGCTGTTTCAGGATTCTGGGAACTGCAGTGCAATACATCTGGGAAGTGCTTGATTGCAACAGGTTGCTATAGATACAACTTTCATGTCTTTTCAGGATCAGCTCAATTAATTTTCTTCAAGTGATGCAGGTTCAATGAAGAGTGATGTAGATAAATATTTGAACTAATAGGTGAATTAGTTGACATAGTTATTTAAA